TAATGATGATAAAAAAATATTAATGTTAGAAATTAAGCCTTATAGATTTTTATCAATTTCTAAGAATATGATCAATCAATTGATTTTGATAAGGCTCTATGAATCCCCAACATTAAACTGTCAACAGACTTAACTATCTGTTTGTTTACTTTTGGTCTAAATTCATTCGAAACAGACTTTAGAAACCTAAACGTTTAATTTAATATTTGTAGGTATCTTTGGAAAGCGAAAACGGAAAATATTCAAAATGTAGTCCACACGGGCGAAAAACTATTATAATCAATAACTAGCATATTTTTTTTTAAAAACCAATAAATCGTTCGATCGAAGGCTATTTACGTAGGCAAGTGTGAAATCTATTATATTAATGTTTCAAAATAAGATAATTTTGCAAAAACTAATATGAGAATTTATGTAGATAAGTCCAATACGAAATTGATATTTACTACTTCTTAAATTTATAAAGGTTTGTAGGCATAGTAACAATCAATTGGAAATTAAATAAATAACCCATGAACAATAAAAAACATTAAATACCAATAAGAACAATACATTGTAAGCTAGTTAACTAATAAAGCATGCAAAACAATCAAATTAATTTATAATTTTGGGATAAGTATATATTTTCTGAAGTGATTTACATTCATTGTATTTTATTACGGTAATAATCACTTCTTTTTAACGCCGCGAACTTTTGGGTAACTAATATTAATATATAATAGTCGCATGAAAAATAGATATAGCAAAACGGGAACCCCTTACGTTTAAAATAACTCTTCTGGAACAAGGTAAATTCCTGGAAATATTGGAATCGTAAATGTGAAAAAAGGTTGACGCGTCGCAGCCGTCGAGCAGCGGCGCGTGCTCTAGGGTATTCCAAGAAACGTATGCGCTCCACAAAAGCTAATAACCACTGTATACAGATACCAAACAGGTTCTAGAACCCAATCACCGTCTTACTCCGGCTTGACATAAAGTTGAAAATTGTATACTAATGCAATTTATCGAAACAAGTATTACAAGCAAGGGTCTTTGACAGACCTTTAACATTGAATGGCTGCGAAACTGTTTTTATTTAATATTCCCTGAATTCAGCCAATGAAGATGAAAATAATAAATAGGTTCTTAGTAAAATTAAAGGTCTTTAAAACATTTTACGAAACTGTCCCTAACGAGGTATTTTAGCTTAACATTAAGGTTCTAACCTTATTAACACAAAAAAGTAAGATGTGCGCTCAACAAGAGTTCTGTGTAACTACAAAACCAACGAATGATTATAAATTTATATTCCCGTTAAACCATTATTTAAAAGAGTGATTCAGGTATGTCCACATTTTTGGGTATGGTTTTGAATTAAGTATCTAATTATAAAAGTTGGTATGTACTCAAAACGATAGATTTGTCTTTAAAACAATACGAAAATTGTTGTTAAAATATACATAATAATATCATTAAGATTGCGTTCATGTCGAACAAATCCTCCATCGATCAAGGATACCTTTACAATTTTTTAGATTGTCCATACAATCATGTAATCTCTACACTAATGTTTAAACCAGTATTCAGTAGTACGAGGAGGCATGACAATTCCTTCTCGTGCCACTGGTGGAAAGTCTAGGCGACACCACTAGGAGGAAGGGCCTCTCTTCAGACGTTTTGCGTCACAAATTGTGTTGTTCATAGCAAGTACAGCCGCTTTCGATATTGATTGATTTTTGGTAGCCTATATTTCTTCTACCACAGTGGTTGTTCATAGATCTCGGAATTGGTGATAAACCACAGCATATTTGATATTTACACGAGGACCATGTAATGCATTCTCTGGAGTATAGCGGTCCAGGATGGTTTTAGTATTGACTTGTATACTTGGGAGTTAAGACATGTATCAGGAATTTGTTGTTCATTGATTTTGCTGTTACGGCCTAACATCCAGGAATCTTCTTCTTATATTTTATATTCAGTTTTAAAACGATGGTCAAGGTTAAGTTTTCAATACTTTGCGCCATCTTGTTGTGGCAATGTAATAATATTCTTTAGTCTAACGGAAGGACAATTTTCTCGCCAAAGTGTCAATAAATGTAATATGATTTCGATGCACTGGCTTTAATTTTCCATTTTCGGAGTCATATTATCTAAAGTTCAAGTCTCTTTTGGAGATTCACCGGAGCTTCACGAGAATTGCTTCTGCTATCCAATATTTGCTATACATGAATTGAATGATCACCAGCGCGAAATACGCGTCGAGTCGAGCCTTGCACTGCTCTACAGGCACATAAACGAAGGCATATTAAATCGCATTGTTACTTGGGACGAAAAATGGATTTTGTTCGACAATCGCAAGCGCTCAGCAATTTGGTTAGATCCTGGTTCAGCATCTAAACAATGCTCCAAACGAAAACTGACCCATAAAAAAGTGATAGTCACTGTTTGGTGGTCTAGCGCCGGTATCATTCATCACAGCTTCTGACCAAACGGTATGAGCAGTACTGCAGATGTGTACTGTGAAGAACTGAACACAATGATAGAGAAGTTCGTACATCTCCAACTTTCAGATTTGATTTCTTTACAAAGACGCGTGGTTAGGATTGTCGATGATACCAAGCTAGCGAAAAATCTGGAGCCTTTAGAACTGCGCAGGGACACTGATTACATATGCGTATTCTACAGGCTCTTTCATGGTGCGTGTTCCGAGGAATTGTTCCTGTTTTTATTGACTTTATTGACACAAATCCGAAAACACCGGTTTAGCCGTTTTTTTTCCAAAACCGTCAGGTTTTTGCATGCGCTAGTGCTATCACACGTAAGCCAACGCTGGCTTTTCGAGTCGTTGTGGACATGGTGGTACTAACTGTAGTGAGTCGACGTCGTGGACACTCGGCAACTATGTAGTCAACACAAGCTATACTCGTAATCTCTTGAATATTATTACCCGTTAATTATAATAACGCGACCTATGACAATAGAGAGGTCACTAATTTCTAGTACTAAAACATTAAAAAAATAGTTTTCACAGATTGCTAGATGTCATTAATTTCTAGTACTTACTAAAACATTTAAAAAAATAGTTTTTACAGATTGCTCTGTATTACGTTTAGCACACTAGTATAATAATGGTGTCGATTCTGGCAGGGTTAACTTAAACTTAAATTCGACAACAGTGTGTCCTTGTCATCTATACAGAATGAAAAGGAGAGACTGATGTTAAATTTAGTTTTAAGATTAGAGAATCAAGCCAGGACCGACACCAATATCTTTAAATATTTGATATCATTTATCACGCGAATATTTTATCGCTTCGCAGAGATAAATATATATTGCAAACCTACCTGCTAGAACATTTATAAATAATCATTCATTATTAAAAGGTATTTTGTAGTCTATAGTTATGTCACATTAAACTTCTATTTGGCTTGGCATACCGAAAGCTAAAACCCTGTGGTAGCTAAATTAATCAACATCAAGTAAAAATCATACAAAAAAATCTGTACCAATGTACGGAAGTACATTGTAGATGGAGCAACAATTAAAATTTAATAAAATCGACCCCATGTGTTTAGTTAAAATTTTTATCATTTATCGTTATAACAAAAAAAATATAACGTAAAAAAATATAATTAATGTGTTTTAAAAAAGATACAGTAGCCCGCTGACAGACGAACAGTGGAAGCTTGGTAATTAAATAATATTCTGCTATTTAAAATACATAAACTGTTACCTTTACTATTTTCTGCTTGAGTTTTTGTATTTCTTTAGTGCCAAATTACCAGTGTGTAGGTGTAGGTAGGGAATGCACATTGGAAATAATCCAAAGGCGATCCCCGAGCTCTAACTCGTTATGCTTTGTGACGTTGTAATGCGAAATTATTTCGGGATATCCAGAGATCATCGTCGTATTTACATTTTTAACCTTCGCTTCTCTCGACGCCCCACCCAGCCACCAGTTCAATTACAGGCCCGTTACCTGGGAAAACATCCATATAAATTAGGAAACATTTTAATAATTGCATTACATATTTTTAAGTGAGATCACATAACAATGAGTATCGTTGAAGGAAAGACTCGTAACAATGAATAGCCATTATTTGGTCAAGTGGCACAACTCTGTCTGACTCACGAGTATTATTGTCACATTCATACATAATGGCATATTTTAACGTTGCTGCGAGTGTGCCTGTATTCGCAGAGAATGACGCCATTCTCTTGATACAAGTGGTTCTTATTGCTTCAATGTATGTTTTTGCACCTAAAGTAATTAATTGATAAGAATTTCTAGACGTAGGTTATTATATTGGCAGTGGTGGTGTAGGAATTCTATCATCTAAAATTATTTATTCAACCCTCTATATTATCTTCAAATTAAAGGGAACCTTTTACTCCTTTCTTAAGATTTTTTTACTCTACCTAAACAATTGATTTCTTCAGACGCAAGTCCGACTACGACCGAAATAAGCATAAGCCAGTTATACCAGGTGCTATAATTGCTATGTCCAGAAGTATGTATTTTATAATTTGTAAGCGATCCATATTATTTACTTCAAACAATAAAATTTAGATCAACTAAAACAATTTCGCTATATTTGTTCTTGTTTTGTTTTATATTGACGATATCATTATTATAATACACAAAGGAAAAGCTTTCATATCCCTTTCTATTTTGCTCTTGAAGAGGTCTGAATTTTGTATTTGTTTATTTGCATATTTGTTATTATTAAATAACAATCATAACATTTGTCAATCAATATGTTAAAATATTTTATTTCTTAAGTAGTAGTAAAGATTGTTAATTAATTTGGACATGTCGGTAATGTATGAATGATGATTATGTATTTCTTTTTCGATGTAAACTAACCAGTTTATCGAGCTTTATTTGACTTCAATATTTTTGGTTATATATTTTTAAAACCTTTAAAATACCGTATGTCATCCCTTTAACTGATCAAGATTTACGTAGTTCATCAGAATATTTAATGACATTTCTAATTCCATGTGACTGTCCTTAGAAAGCTGCACTTAGTGATAGGATTGGTGGTTGAACGGGTGTGGCCGTCTCAGCAGCGAGGCGGCCGGCCGCATAGCGGTTAGGCCAGCCAGCCGATGACCCGGTTCCAAGGGAAGTCCGAGTAAGGTGGGGAGACTCTGTGTTGCACCGACCGACGTGCTTACTTATTGGTTTATTCAACTCGTGATATAATCATATAGATTTTTCTATACTACATAGGTATATGCACTCTTTAAGACTATAATAATAATTTTAGCAATACCTATATTAATGCATTCCTACTCATTACTATTTTTATCATTGTAGCATTTGTTTTATGTACGTTATTTAATTAATTCAAAATTTATACCTGAAGGGACTTCTAAAGTAATTTGTATTTCATTGTATCATGTTATCAAATATCTATACTTACCTAAATATATAAGATACATGCAAGAAAATGGATTGTGTTTTCTAACATCCATCTTATTTACTTTGCCTTAAAGAGAGTTTAATAAGGTTTGTTTATATTTAGTCGTTCGTTTCGGTAGTTAGCGCTACTATCAAGACGGGTTTCCCGCCCACGCGACTTCATGGCGCCCAACCGGACACAATATTATAATACATTATGTAGCTGTGGTGCTTAACGCTTCTGGGTGGATGATTTTAGTTTTGCGTACTTTGAATCAGCCTACTATCTTGTTTTATTTAAATAAATTGGAGTTAAGCGATTGCTTCATGATACACAAAAAAATACTTAATAACTAGATTATCAAATCAAAACACTGTTACGATGAGTAAATGGATATGTGATTAATATACAGATTGTGTAACATGGCATTTGAATGATGATGTTGAGTGAGCAGAGATCCCCGTGCCGTTCGGTCCAAGGTCGTGGTGTGACGTATGAGCTCGGCAACAGGCGAGAACGCCAACTAAACAACGCAACAAGTGCCCCGCGCCCGCGCCCCCTCGCTTCGCGTGCCATTCGCGAAACAGCTGTCATAGTATCGTATTAACTGCCACTTAGTGTGATGTGTTTAAAAAATTACAATGCTTTATGATTACATCTATAACTCTTTTTTGGTGAGTTATCTTAACAGATATAGAAATTAAATAATAATGACAAAAAAATAACCCAAATAACAACTTTCGATCATGAACTTACTAATTTGACTTCGTGTGCATAATAAGTTATTTGGATTAGATTGTTTTTACGCCAGGCGCATTGCATTAGCATTTTAAAATACTTATGAAAGGATAAGTATTGGCAGGTCAGTATATAGCCAGCTTCCTGCAAACTGTTCACAATTGAGCTACTCGTACTATCAGCAAAGTGTGTGCGTCATCGCCTCCGCACTACTGATAAGCCTCTACCAATTATTATCATTGCAAATAAGTAATAATGTGAATATGTTTATACTTTCAAATTATCGAGAATGAATATAATACCACGCTCGCTACTTATTATTATTGAAAAGCTTACCGACTATACATATTATTGAACATGTAGTGGTCTGTTGTTTTTCTAGGTAACACTTATATAAAATGCTTGATAGCGGGGTCTTACTGATAGTAAGTTCAAACGATAAGTTAAATATAGGAAAGTGCCACTTGACGTAAAGACATCCATCCAAGACATGGTTATAAGGTTTGAATTGATTTAATATTTACAGAAAATAAAGTGTAGATGTTTGATCTTAGAATTTATACTCATCTTTTCTTTATTATCGTAAAATGTAGAATGTTAAAATGACGTTTGTAAGCTAATAACCGTTCTAGTCGAGCGCAACCGTTACGAAATCAGTGCGGCATGAAAATTACACTGCGTCGCTCGCACTACCGATAGCTATGTACATTGTACTTATTATGTAGACATTACGATACCCTGACTTATTTTCATAGTTTTTGTTGTGAATTCGGAGTAGCCTAGATACGTTAGCAAAGAGTCCTCTGTTGCAATATTTTATGCAAAAGAATCAAATTTGCATGCATACTTAATACCCGTGTCTACTTCACCGCGATTAAGTAGAAGATGGTACTTTAATTGCGGTGTTAAAGTCCGTGCATAGATACGTATAAATAGATTACGAAGAACGACCGATCCGGTTGCGGTGAAGGAGAGAGATAGATAAAACGCGACATGAATCACTACTCGCAGGGAGCACAGTCAGAACGGCGCGCGGGTGCTGCGCGGGTGGTGCGGGGGGCGCACGGAACGAAACCAAACGACTCGACTGGTACAAACAGTTGTACAGTCATCCGCGGCGTGGAACCGTGTATCTTGTGTTGCGTTACTCAATTCGGTTGTACTGCCATAGGCTACACAGCATTTTCGAATGGAAAATATGTACATATTTTGTTATCTACACCGCGTTAATTAATATTTGTGATAAAGAAAGTAGCCAGTACCTATGAAGGCAGGGTGAGACGCGTGTGACGACATTACAGGTGTGAGTGTGAGTGTGTGTGTATGCGGCGTGGATCGTCGCGCAATTATTAACGATGATTCACTTGCGCGCGGGTGAAATGCAGCCTATCGGACTTGTTGACATTTATTCTGGAAGCGTAAACAAATGATATGAAGACAACAATAATATAATGGTTGACTGATTCATTGGGCCGCCGCGGTAAGAGTTTTGACGTTTTACTGAATGTAAATATGGGTTGCACTGTTAATGTAAATAAATTCGTCCATTCAGTTGTTTTTTGGGATTTGCAATAAGGTTTTTGTTTTTTATATTTATACAATCGAATAAAATAGAAGAAATAAGTGGGCACTACCTGTATGATTTTTTACATTATGCGATATTGTGAAGTTATGATTAGATTTTTAAGTACTTATGTACATATAATATACAAACTAGCTAGTAGTGCCTTAGAACGAATTACAGAAATACATCATGATAACGGCTTATAATGTGTGACATCAGCAGGCAAGAGTCAATAATGATAAGAAATTGATAAGCATTAAAATATTTATAAAGTGAACAGGGAATGGCTTATTGCCAAACTATCTTTTATTTGTTAATTAAAAATATACATTTACTTGAAAATTCAACGCTTAATTAGGATCAGTTTGGAAAAAAAATGTCGCTTTTTCACACAGTAAAATGTAAGCAAGAGAAGGTAACTATATACTTTTAATAGGTACCGATCATTACGTACATGTAGGTAAATTAGGGTTTGTACGAATAACAACTTGTCAGGTTCTCACAAGTTGTCAAAATACGATTTTGAACTTTAAACCCAAGTTCTAAGATTGAAAATCGATTAGAGATTTGACATTTTTGTATAACATAAAGATCTGTTGTATGTTCTTCCGAAATTGAGCCAAGAGCCAAGTACTTTAAAAACAGAGACAATCAATGGAATAATATGTAGTAAATTTATGGACAGTATTAAATTAATGTGCAATTGCTACACCAAAAGGCTTAGATAATTTTGTTTTTATTTTTTAAAATATACCCACTTAGTAGTGTAATTATGTTATAAAGAAGTATGTATTTTTTTGCAAATATACAATAATGTTTATATGCTTGCCTCGGCGGCGAGCTTGCGGAGTCGCGGGCGTCACCAGGGCCGCCTGGCCTGGCGCCAGGCCGGCGGGCGGCGGCCGACACCCGGGATTCCTTTGTTTCATTACAACACTTGTATACAGCCGCTCGCTTGTTAGACAGCTTTTTGTATAAATATTATTATTTGTCCACTATATACTATATAGAATGGTACTTAATTATCACATAATAATTAAATATTATAAAGATATGGTATTATTATATCACATATTATTACTTAAAATAGTTATTCAAAATTTTGACGGTGTTTATCTATTACTGTGACGTAGTCGCTTGTTAATCAATATAATATCGCAAATGAGCATAAATAACGGCTTGATTGTGTAACCTGTAGTTGTGTGCGTGTCGCGTAACGCTGATATTATTTGCTAGCTCGTTGTTAGCGAGCGATTTGGTTGTCCCCGGTTCTCAGAATTTATAACGCCTTCTCGGAACGCACCAACGCAGCCGTCCACTAGCGACTAGTGAGCGCAAAGCGAGGTCGACGTCGTACTCTCACAGCCAGTCGGATTGTGCCTGCCTACACCCACACTTATAACAAAATTCACTTCGATCTCCCATACCTGTTGTTATCCATTATTATTGTATAAACAGGCATGTCTATTCTGAAACATTTAAATTGTTTTGTAATGTTTCTGTCCCTATGTTTTGAAACCTGTCTTTATTAAATACAAGTAGAAATGATACCAGACACTAGCATTCATTTAAAATAAATTAGTAATAAAGTAGAGTGGGGATATCCTCGTTTTTAATGAACGCAAGCTAGTTTGCGACTACGTGACGATGATGTCACATTGTAAACCAATAGAAACAACATTACACATGCGCATTGCGTCAGGGTTTGAAGACTGCTGTTTCCTATTTGAACTGATAATTATTCAACAAAGAAAGCATTAAAATTTATTAAAACATGATTTTTACTTTGTTTTTTTTTTCTCTACAGATCGAAAAGGCGCGGGCACGATGCCGCTTACACAGGAAAAACGTCTGGACAATAACTTCTCCAACAACAATGACCAGAGCTACCTTCACAAGAAATTTAAGAAAATGGCATCTACTATTTCTGTATTTCCGGCCAACAAGGCAGGAGAAAGTGTACACAAAGAGATAAGTGTACCAAACTGTAACACTTTGATTTCCAACGGGAGTATTGCATCAAGTCACCCAGAAATAGAAAAGATAAAATTAAAACAAAATCAGCAAATATGCGAAGAAGTTGAGAAAAATGTACAAACTAATTTTAATGATGAAAATAGTAGATTAGGTAACGTAAATAATAATGTTCAAGTATCTGGTCCGACCAGTTTTACAGATGAATTTCCAAATAAGACTGAGAACCTTGAAAACGATTTTATCAGGGAATCCTATAATGGTGGAATAGGTGGACGTTACATATGTCCCTACTGTAAGCTATCCTGTGCCAAGCCTTCAGTGCTACAAAAACATATCAGAGCCCACACAAATGAGAGACCTTATCCATGCATACCATGTGGTTTCGCTTTTAAAACAAAGTCAAATTTATACAAACACCGCAGATCGCGAACACATGCGCTGAGATTACAAGGTTCTGATATCTCTATTATAAATGATGAAGATTTATCTGGTGGATCAGAAAGTGACACGTCCATGCCGCCAACGCCCGTTTCTGATTACGGATCCGACGCATCGAATACTCGCCATGAAAATTTAAGAATCAGGGAATTTTCTTCTCCAGAATTAACAAACGATTGCATGACGCAAACCAATGCTAACTTTCCCATGTGTGATAACAATAAATTAAAATCGATTTACAAACCAAAATTCAGAGTTGATTTTTATCAAGACAGTGACGACAAAGATAAAATAAAAAAGACGATTTCCCCGAATGCTGATTTTCTTACGGAACATATCTCTAAAATTATATCAGATAATGAAGCTATTGTAGACGTCATAGAGACACCTTTACAAAAAAAATATGGTAAAATTAAACAAATAGCTGAAAGTAAACAATTTTTAAATGAAAATTTGGATTTAAAAATAGATTCGTCTCCTCTAAACTTAACAAAACAAAGTGATCAGAATGAAAGTAGTTTTAGGAAAAGATCACATTCCGAAAGCTTTTCTCAGATTGATCATCAAAAGCATCCATTGAATCCTGAGGGTTCTATAATAAAAGACCTTCTACTTAAAACTAAAGCCAATGGCTTAACCCCTACAACGGGGGAATTAGTGGATGGACCTCTTTTTATTTGTCCATTATGCCAGATAACATACAGAAGTGCAGATAATTTAGAAATTCATAGAATGTATTATTGCAAAGGGAGCCTTGTCACTACAACAATCAACGTTAGTCAAAGAAATTCTAAACTTGCAAGACCTGAAAATATGTTTGTAAGAAGTAATTCCATTAATGTTCGTTTACCAGAAACGCAACCACAATTTTCAAAAACGAATATTCCTACAAAGTGTACTACTTTGAGGACAAAGCCTGAAAATCTCATCATAATGAAGTCTGAATCTAATGATATTGCAGCACCGTTACCATCGCCAGGGCCATTACTCGGAAATACAAGGCTTGTAGATACAAAAACTTCAAATGAAATTTCGAGGAAAAATGAAAACGCAAAGTTGAAACCGATGGCTAGCCCGAAAAGAAGGATCGATAGTAGATCTGATACTTACAGTCCAAGATTACTAGAAAATGTTTCTCCACGTTCCATGGATATTTATCCGCAATCAAAAATAAGATGCATCGATGCAAATACAACAAGATCACGACCAATTGAAGAAATCGCCCCACATATGAGACATAATTCTACATCTCTTCAAATGTTTGGTGGTGAAGTAAAAATTGTAGATCATTCTGGGGGTACTACTACATTACGTATAGAACCAAGTAAAAATCAATTATCGCCTATACTAATTCAACAATGCCTGTCGCCTTCAAAACTAGCAAACGACTCTGAAGCAAGTAGCGTTGTGGTTCGGTCGGGCTTACATTCTGGAGGCACAATTATGCATAACCCTCCAACTCCTAAAGAAGTATTAGGAACACCACAACCGCCAACGCCTAGAATTTCTATATCAACTGCACCTACCATATCTAATGCAAATCTTCCAAATTTACATGATATAACTCATTTTCAGTTTCCGCCACTAAGTGCTATTACGGCTTACAATCCACTAACTTTGCCGCCTCTGAGCCCCTCTTCTTCACCAAATGGAGCGACTACTATTTTACATGGCGGTAAACTCATACCTCATGTTCCAGGTATGCCGGGTCCAAATACACCTGGTGTTTATGTTGCAACTTCAAAAACTTTAATGATTAGTGAAACAAGTAAAACATCTCCAAAATTACTTCATGATAATAAGGGGCCTAATAACATATACTCAAATAAAACTGTTACAGCCTCTAACTATGAGATATCGCCTAATAGAAATTCAAATTTAAGATCATTCCATTTGGAAAGCGAAAAGCTCAAAATGCAAGATCATACAAAAACTGATGGTGTACCACAACCACAGTATATTTCTGCAGTTCCTATAATTAAGGTAAAAAATGTAGATGATACAGACTCAGTTAAAATATACCCATTTAATACAAACAAGCCACCTAATACGATACAAGAAGGAGCTTTCAAAAGAAACTGTGACGGAATACCGAAGACCTCTACTTTAAAAGATAATGCTAATTTCATGGTGAACAAGATTAAAAATAGAGAGAAATCACAATATTTATCCAAATCTAGTAATCCCGTAAAGCCGGAGCCTGAAATAAGAAATTTCAATTTTGAGAATTTAATAACTAAGGCAGAAATATACAGTAATCAAATTCCTAGTTCAGCGGACGTCCAAAAAAATACAAATGCAGAAGATTCTGCTGGAACTTCCACTCTGAATGAACGATCAGAGACCTCTTATTTCCAAAAAAGTGCTATCGCAAAATCTGCCACTGAGGAGAGGAAACCCAAATTTCTGCGACCAACTACTTTACCTTTAAAACCAGGAACATTTACACCCAAAAGGCATCACGGAATCACACCTAATGCTAATACGATGCCCTTAGTATCTCCAGAAACGCCTCGACCAGCTAAAGCTTATGGCCAACTTTATTTAAATGGCAATGCTTACACATACTTAGGATTAAAATGTTCTACCAAAGTATTTTATTGCACGATCAATCGCCCACAACCGACCTATGTACCAAACCAGCACTTTTTATCGATGTACAGCAACTGGCAGGTAATTATAAAAAAGTTCTTAATTTCATGACACACATTTATTATTAAATTAAAGATGAAACAAACATATAAACATACAACTACAAGTAAACAAAATATTTTAACTATTTTTTCAAGTTAAAGAAGATGTTTTTTACTTGATTTCTAGTTGTTGTCTGAGTTAACACCGGACCCGCTTGGGCTGTCTGCATCATCTGCCATGTCCCTCTACGACTCACGTCATCGACCGCAGTGTACGGCCGTGTCGGTGATCAAACAGGATCTCATACTGACTCATTCGTCGCAGTGGAATAAAAATACTAAAGATGACAAACAGGTATATATTATAAAATAGATTATTCGTTGGATAATAAAGGCCTCGCAATTTAATTAAATTCGTATGTAATTATCTCGTATTAAGAGTATTTGGAAATAATATTAAACAATTTGTTTTGCATTGACATATATCTAGTAAAAAGTAGGTTAACTGCAAAATTAAGATGTTTGTGACGTACTTTCTTGCAACTGGAGGGGACAGAAATTACTTTTTTTTTCATGTAAAAAGAGTGGAAAGAGTAATATTGCGCCATCCTAATAGGGAATATGCATGATTATTTTTATATATTTATTTCATAGTTTACATTCCCCTAATATAGAATACAATTTTTCAGTAGGTATCTAAAAAATAGTGTACAGGTCGCGGCACGTAATTCTAGCGCTGAACAAAATTCGGAGGGGAAAGCAAAGCTAAGGGTATACTGGAGAGCCAATCGGCGCAATGCTTGCCCACCCGCGCATCTCGTTTCCCCCCCAAGACATTAATTTTTACTTCTGCACAATAACGGTCAGCGCTAGAGTTTCGTGCCGCGATTTAATATGTGTCTAAAAAAATATAAAAAATAGCCACTTGCACAGGCATTCAAACGCTCGCTATTTGGAACTCTTGATGTGACGTCACAGTCTACCCTTGTTTGTTTTACCTAACATCCTAATTTTAATTTTAAAAAGAAAATGGAGATTACGTGCGCGCGCACTACACACTCGCACTAGGTCTCGTTGACTTTGACATATCCTGTGAACATGGCGCTTGTTTGTTTATTTGTTGTTATGTATTGCTACGTCACAACCGCTCTGTCATTCCGTCCGTTGTCCGTTTCATATTTGAATTTCCCACAAGCTTTCCGCACTTTTCAATAATGGATGTCTTGCTCAAAGCGAAATTTTATTAAAAACATTGATGGAGGGACAATTCAAAAGTAATGGAGTTTATATACAAATAATTTGAGCCTTCTATATATTACATGCATATTCGCTATTGTAAGCGACCGCCATAGCATATAGACGCGTTGTTTAACCTGACCTTACCCCCTACCCTTGACGTCTTGGGACCTCACAAAGTGATAGGAAAACAACACCAATAAAGGGTAGTGGTATTTTGTAAGGTGGGAGGTTATTTCCCCAGACGGGCGCTCTGGTTGAAACGGGAAATCCGCTTTGCCCTATCTCTATTATTTGATCAGCTACTATTACAATAATATTTAACACTTTGATTGTGTGAGATAGTTTGTTTATTAAGTTTACAGTATGCCGATAAGGGATTACTTTATAGGAAAAAGACATAGTGCGATGTACTATGGTTACTATCTGAAATCCAATAATCAGCTGAAAGGCAGGCTTCTTTAATATTTTACATTTAATCTATTTATGCAATTTTGTCATTCTATATTTTTTCAGACCATACTATCAGTGGACACCAAAAGATATGATGAAAACAAGCAGATGACTCCAGAAAATGTGCCAACATCAAAAAAGGAATTAACAGGAGGATTCGAAAGTAACGAAGAATATACGTATGTGCGGGGTAGAGGCAGAGGCCGCTACGTCTGTTCAGAATGTGGGATTCGTTGCAAGAAACCATCTATGCTAAAGAAACATATTCGAACTCACACGGACGTACGACCCTATACTTGTGTACACTGTGCCTTCAGGTAATTTTTTATTCTTTTATTTTTATTATATTCCAACTACTTCACTGTTATTGTGTGAAATATCGAGTTAAATCTAGACATTCTTATTTCAGTTTCAAAACAAAGGGAAATTTAACTAAGCATATGAAAAGTAAAGCTCACTATAAAAAATGCTGCGAATTGGGCATAAGTCCAAACGAGGGAAATGACGGCGAAGGTGGTGAGATGAATCAATGTTCCGGAGAAACAGACGATGAGACTGATTCTGAAGGCGATGAAGGAAATGAAGGCGAAACAGAATCAAGCGGTAAGTATCTTGTTTATTCTACTTATATTATAAATGTGAAAGTTTGTATGTTTGTTATACAATCAAGCAAAAACTATTGAACGGATTTAGATGAAATTTGGTGCACATATATTAGATTGAGGCATAGGATACTTTTTATCCTGGAAAAAGTTAGGTTTTTGAGGGATTTAAAAAAACCTAAAGCTAACGCGAACGAATTCGCTAGTAAGATTTATAGTAAATGTGACTTTCCACGGCTATAGGCACCTTGTATTCGGTATGGATTTAAGCAACATAATCTATAATTGAAAAGCTGTACATATGAAATACTTAACATTTTAAGATGAGTAGTGACGGTTTATTCGGTTATATTCTTTATTTAAAATGAACACTGTTTAATTTCACAAATCAAAATTTGAGTTTAGCCACATCAAAAACAAAGTTTCCGTTGTGTTATATACCTCTTTCTATGTTCTGTGTGATACATAGAGGGCTAAAAATAGGAGGCCACAAATGAGAATTTACTTATTTGTAAATGATAAATAACGAATAAAATAAATGCAATAAAAACCCCTTTGCACGGGCATATTAAACACTCGCTAATTTGCAACACGTTTGCTTTTAACGTCCATAGATTAAAACAAAAAGGGAAGATACGGCATTCGCGGCTCAAAAGTGATCCGTTTAAATTGTGGTCCACGGCCATAATTCGCTTTAGTCACAATTTGACATTCAAACACGCTGCATGTACACTCAATATAACAATATTGCGTATATTCTGTGTTATGAAGATATAACAATGCCTTCGTTGCTTTTATAAACAACACAAATAGTTAAAAAATAAAAAATGATGTGATGTCGTGGGACACCAGGTAGGAACGAAGTTCCTTCGGCTAATGTAGAATCGACACAAATTGCAAACTCGCTTGTGTATGCGACTGTCGCGCCTGCGCACGTCTCATTTCACGCACTTTTTTCCACGGATTTTTTCTTACGGTTTTACTATCACATTTTTTTCAGTTCGGTCGCGCAGCAAAATCCCTATCCCCTCCAATCCTGCCGTAAGGAACTTCGTTGCGCCTGCGCACGTCTCATTTAACGGTTTTATTCCACGCATTTTTTTCCACGGATTTTTTCTTACGGTTTTACTATCACTTTTTTTTCAGTTCGGTCAGCTAGTGTTCGTAAAGATTGCTAGGCAGGACTGGCCCACAGTTTATAATAAACTACAATGTCACAATAATCCAGTAATGCAGCCCCGTCGCTCTGCCACCCCCTGGACTTAACCACAGTTTAGTATAATATACGACAGTAATCCAGTGTTGGTATAATGCCACAATAATTTGAGGTTGCACCCCCGTCGCTCTGTCACCCCCTGTTTAGTACTGACCTTGTTATCATGTCTAGCTTAAGTTTATAGCAGATGACAGGCGTTCCTGGTCCACAGCTCGGTATAACGTCACAAATATCCAGATTTCGTGTAATGTCACAATATTCCAGTGCTGCACCCTCGTAGCTGTGCCACCCCCTACATACGCACCTTATTATCATGTCCCGCTAGCGTTCGTAAAGGATGCTAGGCAGGACTGGCCCACAGTTTAGAATAAACTACAATGTCACAATAATCCAGTGATGCACCCCCGTCGCTCAGTCACCTCCTGATAAGTACTCACCTTGTAATCATAATCATGTCTCACAGGCGTTACTGGTCCACAGCTTGATATAACTTCACAAATATCCAGTGTTGGTGTAATATCACAATATTTCAGTGATGCACCCTCGTCGCTCTACCACCCCCTATAACTTCACACATATTCAGTGTTGGTGTAATATAACAATATTTCAGTAATGCACCCTCATCGCTCTACCACCCCCTATAACTTCACACATATTCAGTGTTGGTGTAATATCACAATATTTCAGTGATGCACCCTTGTCGCTCTACCACCCCCTATAACTTCACACATATTCACTGTTGGTGTAGTATCACAATATTTCAGTGATGCACCCTCTTCGCTCTACCACTCCCTATAACTTCACACATATTCAGTGTTGGTGTAATATCACAATATTTCAGTCATGCACCCTCGTCGCTCTCTCTCCTGCCGTAAGGAACTTCGTCGCGCCTGCGCACGTCTCACATTTAACGGTTTTATTCCACGGATAAACGTAACGTAACGTAAAACGTAGTCCAGTTGAATGGACGTCGTCCCAGATTTGGATTTCGAAACGGATTGAATCCATGCGTCCAATCTAAATGGACGTCGTGCGCGGCCGAATGTCAATGTAAAAAACGGGCGATACGCCATTTGGAGTTACCCGGATTGTCTATGAATGGTTAAAACCGCGTCCATTTTTTTGTGATATTTATTTCAGTTTATGCTCAGCCCCTCTAGCATGACCACCGAAACGGGATATGATAAAGCGATATATCATTATTAAATGTCAGACTACTGTCAAACTCCACTGTAGTCTGACAGTTAATGCCGATATATCGCTTTATCATATCCCGTTTCGGTGATCATGCTAGAGGGGCTGGTGTTGACGGCGCCGGCTGTAGCTAGACATAATGTAATCTATATGGTTACGGTATGGTTTAAATTATTTCTTTCATATGTCATCCCTGAAGCGAAAAAGAAAAGTGTAGCGTGTGTAGTATCTTGTTTTTTAGGGTTCCGTAGTCCTGATAAAAAACCTTTATAGTTCCCGTTCGCGATTTATTGATCTTTAATGCGTCAATTTTTGTTCGAGTAGGCTTTAAAAACCTGGAAAAAATCATAATAATAGTGCTTTTCATGAACTATTATAAAAAAAAACTTTCCTATTGAAAATTCCTTAGAAGAAAACATTAATAGTGACAAAGATGAAGTAATTATAGCGTAAAACCTTGCATTGAAAAACAAAATCTAAAAAAAAGGTAAATTTAAATAATCAAAAAACCCGACTTCTTAATTATACTTCAAATAAAAACTGAAAAGAAAAAAACAAGTCCAGTAGTCTATAATTCTGTTAATAAGGAACAAAGCTACTTTATCAGTCGGGACCCATTAGATATTCAAGAATACATAATATTTTCAATAATGGGTCCTTATTATGGGACATTTCAGGAGTAATAGCGTTTATATAAAAAAAATGCCTTATTTGAATTACATGCATATTCCCTATTATTTCATCTTAGTGTGAACGAAATACCAATAAAAATATGGGATATCTATTGCCTATATTTGTACAGTTTTACAAACATTTAATATCTCGGAAACTTAACCGATACATTTAGCCGTGGAACAGTTAATTTAAATGATAAATAAAAGCAGCCTCATTAGATGATAAATTTCTTTCTTTAATTTTACAGATACAGAAGCATACAAGTCTCGACTACCTGAACATGAAGCTGCCCACTGTTTACTGTCCCTGGGGGGATCCCGACCGACCACGTCTGCGGCACCGGGTCTTCTGACGAGCGCTCGACCCTCTACATATCCATACGCACCTACGGGGCAGGAAAATGTGACGTCTGAATTGTGTCCAGAGAACCACGTATCGCGAAGCGCATCAGTGGATTCGCGATTAGATTCGGAAAATGAGCCCATGGATCTTAGTAAAAATGACGCCAAAATGCAACCACATATAGCTGAGATTCCTACTGCACGGGAATCAAGTGTACTAGCTTCGCTGGCATCGAATACAGCGAAACTTCCGCAGCCTCAAACACAGTGGTCGAACGGCGAGCCGATGCTTCATACTTATTTGACGGAACGAGCACTTCTGGATTCTAAAATAAAACAAAGCCAACTAACGTGCAATTTATCTAAATTGAGGAAAGTCGATTTAGACAAATCTTTATTTGCTGAAAGTAACACAGAAAATGATCAGAAACCTATGCTAACTAGTAAAAACAGCGTGTCTTTAACTGTATCATCATCGAATATAGCAACTGTTGCGAAGGTAACAAGTGAAAGTCAAGATAAACAACAAATTATGACATGTAAAGAAGAAAATACTATGACAAAAGAATCTTCTACTCCTAATAACAATATAAGTGTTGATACCAAAAGAGTGCATGTCTCGAGTAACACAAATGCAGAAAATGCTAAACACGTAGTATCGGAATATTTGAAACAAGCTAGAATAAGTCTAATAAATTCACAAGATGAAATTTTAAATAATACAATAGAAAGCTCCGGTGATGAGAGTAGCAATGTTAAAATAAATATAATAGATTCAACTAAGAGTGACGACACCAACCTTTCTGACGCTGAATCGATCAAACTACCGCCGTTGGAACATGATCCTGTAGCACGTAAAGTTGTAATAGGCGTTGGTGGCGTGGCATTTAAAGTAACTAAAGGGAAAGAATTTGAAAACACCTCGTCTTTTCCACCTGGCCGGCTAATGGAAGACGGTCGCAGAGTATGTGATTTCTGTAATAAGACCTTTACCAAACCCTCACAATTACGGCTCCATCTAAACATACATTACATGGAAAGACCATTTAGATGTAGCGTTTGTGCGGTTAGTTTTCGAACGAGGGGTCACCTTCAAAAACATGAGCGCTCAGGGTCTCATCATAATAAGGTGTCTATGACATCAACCTTCGGTGCAGCGACATCTTTTAATCCCAGACCTTTTCGTTGTTCAGATTGTAATATAGCTTTTAGAATACACGGCCATTTAGCAAAACATCTAAGGAGTAAAATGCACGTAATGCGACTCGAGTGTTTATTCAAACTACCCTTCGGAACGTTTACTGAGATTGAGCGTGCGGGCGTTAGCTTGACAGACATCGACACGACGGATTGTGCCAGTTCTCTAACGAGTCTTCAGTCTCTAGCTAGGAAACTTCACGAGAAGGATCCCTCTAAATTGGAATACCGAGAACCTACAAGCGCGGCGATGACCGCCGTTTCTACGTGCCGAGAGTCTTCTGAAGATGACGACGCCATGAGTTGTGAAAAATTATGTGACGATGAAAAAGACAGTGAAATAAAGACAGTAGAAAATAGTGAAAATCAAAATAGAGAAACAAGAGTTATATATAGTGCCACGGATAATTAGTGCCAAAATAAATTAAGTAGGTTATTTAATGTGCAATTTGTTTTTGTTGTTTATTTAAGATGTAATTAATTATTATTGGGGTTTGACTCGGAACTCGAAAGTGTGAAACAGAATAATGCGCTTTAATATTTAAGTGTACTTGTATGTATTTTGTTTCAATATAATTTTGAATTGTCTTGTAAATACTTTAAATAGTTTTAACATTGTTAAATTTGCTTCCATTTTAGGGCTTAAGTATATTCGTTATTACTAGTAATTTTAATAGAGATTTAAAAGATTTCTTGGAACCTAGACACTACATCAAATGAAGTTATTTACAAACTTCCTATCAAACATTAAGAAAAATACAGAACATTTTGTGTGGTCCATTAAAATAAACGAGTACTTGATATATCAATGAAACATATTACAAAAGCTAAAAATATATATTCAAGTATATCTTGATAAGTAACCTTTTTGTATGTATTTTTATAAATATTATAGTGAGTATTTACACTGTAAAAATAACAACGACTTCCAAATCATCTTATCTTTATAAAAATTGGCATATCAACTTCCATAAACGAAAATTAGATATAAACATACTTGTAGAAATCCTTGATGAGTCTTCCATATCAAAAATAGTTCTTGTGCTAGAAATTTGTTCATACTATTTAATAATTTGGGTTAATATTTGAAATTTTGGCACCCAATTTATAATTGTTTAAAATATTATATCATTAAATATTTGCTCGATATTATTATTCATCGGGGAGTTTAGGTAATGTATACCTTGTACATAGTTATTATGTACGTACTGTAAATCTGTATATCGTGTACCAACGTGAAAGTTTGAAACTAATGAATACATTTGTTAATATATTTTTAAATGTTTTAATGGCATAAGAGAATTGCGTTAGTTTTAAATTTTCACTAATTAAGTAGCATGTACTCGAAAACATTATTGCTTAGTTATATTATTAATTCCAAAAATATCTACTATGTACTATATCATATTTTTGTCTCAAGTCAACGTTTTAAAATGATAAATTCATTAAGTTTGGATTAAAATGATGAGAACTGGGTTTCAAATATGTTTTTTTTTCTGCCTTAATTGAATAGATACGATGTTGAACGGTATTTGTTTTGTTTCTATAGTTTAACTGTTAATAACTTTGGTTTAGAACTACTACCGGAATAAATAAAGAGTTGCTAATTAAGAAAGGACACTAACAGCAACATTTAAGGTCAGTTCCATACCAAGACGCGAAGCGTAGTTTTCGAGATGCGATACAAAATAAAACTTTATTTACTACACAACAAGATACACATTGCATAACGCAGCAATCTACAGACTAGTAGGTATGGCTGTAGTTAGTTTTCACATGCTACTACGATATAGTGACAGCCGCCATTTTGGTGTGGTGCGGTATGCCTTGTCAATAGTAGGAGAGCTGGTAGTTCAACTGACCAACGCGTTACATTTTTAAAATTATATTTTGTTACTTCTCTTGCTTCTTAATTCCTAGATTAGGTACAATTCTGGCTGGTATCTCGCGGTTGCATCATCGATCGTTTAAATGTCAAAATAATATTTTTTTAATTACAAACCTGCAATTTTAATATTATGTTATATTAATACGCTGGAATTTTGGGAGAATATCTAATACATATAGAATTGTCGTGTTTGAACAAAACTCCTTGACCGATTCTTGTGTGTGTGTATATTCAGTAGGTCTGAGAATAGGACGTTAACTATTTTTCATAGGTACCCCATTTTTTTATTCGATATCTTAAAAAATACATACGATTTTTTGGCGGTAAGAAGTTCGCTGAGTTAGCTAGTTCTTTTAATAAAATTTAATGATCAAACGAACTCACATAAGTGAATTTCGATCTGAATTGTCCTGTTATCGCCGAAGAGATATTTTTTTTATTTTATAGTACCGTTTCAGAGTTCAGAGCGTAGCAGAGAAAAGTGGGAAGCATCTCCTCCCTTCACCACGCCCCGCCGCCGCTGCTCGTCGGTTTTATATTCATATAATTTTAGAGAATAAAAGACAACATTGACGATATTATCCTAGTAAACTAGGGGATAAAAAATATTAGGGTGGGCGGGATTCTAAAGCCCCTATTATAGAAAGACAACTAAGTGTTGATCTTTACTTGAGTACAGTTAGAAAGGGATGTCGCTATGTAAAGCACATCGCGACATCCCTTTCTAACTGGACATTCTGTAAGTCATTCTGTAATACGGGCGTAAATCTCTTCGGCGCTTAGCAGACGACGGGGCGGGGCGGGCATTTTGTCCGCGAAGCAATAAAGACCGCGTCTGCCCGTCGATGTCTGCGGCTGCCCGCGCCGCGTACACAAAGCACACGACGGGCAGAGGCGGTCAGTTCAGGACGTTCGTTGTAGTGAATAGTCCATCACTAAAAAGCGCGTGTCGCGGACTGAGCTGACCGCCCCGCGCCGCCGTCTGCTTTAGTACATATAAACTGGTTTGTTTGATCCACGGCGGGCAGCCACGGACATGCCGCGCCGCGCCGGTGCCCGCCGGACACTCAAGGCGCGGTCTTTTTGCCCTTTGTGTGCGTTTGAAGTATAGGATTCACTTTGTGCTATTATTCGCGGCGAAATTGACCGACCCGCCCCGCCCCGTTGTCTGCAAAGCGCCTAACAGGACAACAGAGCGAACTTCACTTAGCTAAGTTCGTTTCATCATTAAATTGTCTTGTTATCGCCTCCGGGATTTATTTTTCTTTACTTTGTAGATGCTCAGAGTGGAAAAGTCAATTTTGTTAAGAAATAAATAGGATATTATCCGATATAAATCATAATAAACCATGTTAATGATTACTTCAGATACTTAGTACCAACTTACACTATGCTTTGCTTACTATATTATCAACAAGGTTGCTAAATAGGTTTGAACTTTTTTTAACACCACTCTTCTACAAAGTCTGCATTATGTATGATGTTCGATGAAGCAGCTTTGTGAGGTTTTTTATATGTTAATACATAGTTTCTTTACATGTAATCTCGTCTCAAACTTCGGTCTGATTGCTGTAGTTGCTGACATAAGAACACTCACGGAACGGCAAAATCTCGGATTACTATAAAATAAGAATACGGGCTCAGCACTGTCTGAGCATGTCCTTAAAAATAAGAAAATCAATTTGATGTAAAAAAAATCCTTATTAAAGGACATTGGGCAAAAATGTATGGAAGCTGCACCCCACGTCCGCCGCGGCTTAAACTACATTTGTTTGAAAGGTATTATGGTCATGATCATCTGTGCCAAAGCGCATCAAATTCCATCGTGGTGGTTTTTAGTTATTTTAAGTTGAATATGTACAAGTACTAATTAACGAAAGAAGAGAATTACTTTAGTTAGTTCGACCCTATATAGAGGGTTCAAGTATTATGGGAGTACCTCACAAGGTGTAAGGGTGCCCCCTTAAGTTATTCTGCCAATTTAGATTTCAAAAATCACGGTTTGTCGTGATTGTTATTTAAGTAATCGCCATTTTTTTATCAAGAAAAGGGCAACAATATATTTCAGCAGTTCGGACTCTGGTAATACGGACTCGCCGTTTCACTCGCGTCGCGTTGATCATGCACAGTTCTGTCTCGCTCGCTAGATTGAATGGTTATTTAAGGCTACCATTCACAGGCGCGCCCATCCGCCGGATTTGTCGCTGGCGACAAGTCCGCGGACAAATACGCGTGTGAATGTATTGGTGAGCGCGGCGCTCGCCGTTAAGAGACGCGAGCGCCGCCGCGCCGCACCCCAGCCGCGCCGTACAAGTATGTACGTGTGTGTGCTTTCACAGATTTATCGGTGAACTTGTCTTGTCAGTCATCATACGTAGTGCGTGCACGCAGAACCACCTCATAACTTGTTAATTCTGTATCACGTCTGTATCACTTTTTTGACGTTTATGCGATAGTGTTTTAAGTCAAAAAGTTGAACATAATACGCATTTAAGTTGATATCAAGTTAGTATCATTTTAAAGAGTTGATCATAATACGCTTAATTTGATGTCATTTTAATATCGCATTTTTCGGAGAGCATAATACGTAATGTGAAATTGACATCAAAACAATATCACAATTAGCGAACATAAAGAGCTAATTGTATCTCTTCTACAAGGGGTTTATCTCTTCTACGCATGTCCTCGGCATGAGCAGGTTCTTAATAGTTCATTACTAACACGAAACGAGCCATTTTACTCTTTTTTATTAAAAAATAAAGGAATTTGATACAGAAAAACCACCTCCTAACTTGTTAAGTCTGTATCACATTTTTGACGTTTATGCGATACTGTTTTATGTCAAAAAGTTGAACATAATACGCATATAAGTTGATATCATTTTAAAGTTGATGTCAACTTGATGTCATTTTGATATCGCATTTTTCGGAGAGCATAATGCGTAATGTGAAATTGACATCAAAACAATATCACAATTAGCGAGCATAATTGGCCTGCAGTTGTGTTGTTTGTATCACGAACGAGTAAACGAGTATAATAACATGTCGTTCGGCGTTCATAAAGAGTTTTGGCAAGAATTTATCCTGCTGTTTAAAGAGAAAACTAAAGAGAAACAGGTGGTTTACAGGACTGAATGCATTGCAGCAATTTTAAATGAGTATATTTTGTTCGTTGTTTCAGCCATTCCTTTGTTCAGACGCTCTTTTTCTTTTTATTCTCCGTTAAAAGTATTGCACCGACTACTAAAGCGACTTTTGTGCGTTTGGAAAGCACCGGTGGCATGGTAGGGTAGAGAAGAACGATACGCGCGAGGCTCACCAAAGTACACAAGCGACCAAAGAGTACATATATATACTGGAAACAAGCGACTGGACTGCAACTCGGCGCTCGTGTAGTGTGTGGGCAATGACGGATTTGTCCACAAATGGGTACGGCTCGGGGTTCCGCTCGCGGTGCGTGTAGTGAATGGTGGGCTTTAGAGACGTGTGCGTGTGTGAGAGTTGCTTATGTAGATGAGTCGGAGTTGCTTATGTAGAGATTTTATTTGATGCTAGTATGAGCGTTCCATATCTTCCCTTTCTGTTTTGATCTAAGAATGTATTAAATAAATCTAACTTTATTATGGCCGGCTGTCAGTTCCGGTGTCTATGAAAAGTATTGAAACGAAACTACCACAGTCTTCTATAAAAGCACGAAATTGACACCGGAGTGAAAATCGAACGTGTTTTATGTGAAAACCTACATCAGAAGCGTGGATAAAGATTTTCATGTCTCACTGAAACAAAAATAGACGAAGAATTAAAGAAAATACGTGATACGCGCCAATGCAACCACGCTCGATGCAGTCAACGTAGTTCAAGTCGAGTGTCGGAGAGGAGCCGCAGCCCTGTTCGAGCAATTGGAGCTAGGTTGCAACACAATGAGCATCGATCTAGAGTTGAAAAAACAGGAGATGCTTGTACAGACAGGCATTCAATCTCAAGATCTTCGACTTCTATCTTCGATCTTGTGTGGGCCACCACCCTCGCGGTGCAAAGGGAAAATAAAATTAGTATGGAAATCCCAAAAGAGCACGTCGCAAGGGCTTTTTCTACGATAAAGGGTGTCTTAATAAGAGTGCACTTTTTATTTTAAACTAAAAAAATGTATGTTTTTAAAAATTTAGTGATATTTTTATGGGCTTGTAGAGAAAACATGGTCGGGTTCAGTATGGAATTCAATGTGTCTGAAGTTGAAACTTTGTTAAACAAAGTATCAAATTGGGGTCGACTTAATTGAGTCCTATTTATTCCTAAAAAAACACGGGTCTGCAGGATTAGCGTTGTCGTATTCCCTCGTTTTAAGAATACTCCTCTAACTGCCTCAGCTAGCATCAGCTAGTAACAAGCTTGGTGTGGTCAATAGATCGAGGTCTTCTCATCGGCCCACCGATTGCAACTTTATAAGACATAGGTTCGGCCTCACATAGAGTAATGTTCCCATCTTTGGGCGGGGGAACCCCAGTACCAGCTTCTCCCTCTAGCTAGATCGCATCCAGTGCCGAGTGGCTCGAATTGTTGACGAACAGAACCTTTTCGATCAGCTTGATTCTT